GTACTGGGTGATAAAGGTCCTAAATACATAAACTCTGAAGGTCAACAGAAATGTGCTGAGTGTCAGGAATGTCATGTCTGCAACATGAAACAGTACATTTTTATACACTTTTTAATTTTTTTTAAACCTTAAAGAAAATAATCTATACCAAAAACAAACATCCTAACAGTGGGACATGTAGATCCAACTAATTTATGGAAACTAAAACTCAGTCATTTCATTGAATGACTGAAAGGGTGGAATGCTCCTTTTCAATTTACACACAAAATTTGATTATCTATGCGGGCCGTAGGCTGCTCGTGTCGGCTGCATATACAGCTGTGAAGTGAGACGGTCTAGTTTACAAAAGACGTACATTTGCGTGACCACTTGTTGCCTCGATACAATGGCGATACATTTTATATCACATTGCTTTAGTTGTATTTAAGGTATAACTTCACAAAATTCAGTTTTAATAGAAAAATGTTACAAATAAATTAATAAAAGGCATTAATAATTTGGGTTTAGCTCCAGTATCAGTACTTGTAACGGCACTTTATTCAGCATCTCATTGCAACAAAAGTTTCTTCAACTAAGTTGCTAAACATACATTTAAAATCAAATTCTTTGGTCTGTGACAAGTTTCCAAACTCCTCGTTCTAAAAAAAAAAATAGTCCAGAAAATAAAAATTAGAAAAACCTCTGCCATCTTTGTTTTTCTGTTTAATTTATTGACGGCGCATAGGGTTGGGTACCGAAACTTGGTTCCAGTATGGCACCGGGGCGAACATCAACGGTAGCACACAGACCAAAACACAACTCTAAAGTCGGGTTCCCACCAAACACATTTTGAGCAGCCAAAGCAGCCAGTTTACATGCAAAGTCTATGGTGGAAGCGCATCTAGGATTAGCGCGGCTCGTTGCGGCGAGTTTTGCCAGTTTAGCGCAGCGCACAAGGTAGCAGTAGGATGCAGCAGAGCATTTTCCGTGTGGCGCGTCCAAAGCAGCGGCTGCTCAAGCTAAAAAAAAATTGAACTTTTGGCTGCTCGACGCGCAGCAGCAACCAATCAGAGAAAATAATTTTTCCACGCGACGGTTTTCTGAACCCAACACAGACGTACAGGAGCGCTTAAGCTGAAATTGACCGTCTGCAGTTGGTGTTCTGGCTGGATATATCAGCACCGATGTGATCATTCAGCAGCTCGCTGAGCTCTGGACACTCACAAAAAAAATTCTGTCAGCTCGTAGCTTCTGGAGTGGTGAAACTAACCGAACAAATCACCTCTAAATTATCTGGTGAATTAATTATCTGGTCTAGTAAATAAAGCAAAGCCATTTTCTTTATTTTATTTTTATTTCACCCGTCATTAAAGATAGACCGGAAAAAACCAAGACGCTCCTCCCTCTTCAGACGTGCATCTAGTCTGCTGCTGCGTTTACACTAGTGTGTCCAACTTGAGGCGTTGGGCGCATTTTTGCTGCTCAAAACGCGTTTGGTGGGAACCCGGCTAACTTCGGTGCCTTATTTCGGTGTACAGCACACTTATGATTTTGACATCAGCAGAATTCTGCCCGTGGATTAACTCTTGGATTGATTGACAGCGAATTTCCTCCTAGACAGAGCTGTTTTTGTTTAGGAATATGAGTGTGCGGCGTGATACGAAGACATGGTGAAATAAAACTGCCTTTTTGGTGATGTTGAGAAAAGCAAAACTTGTAAACACTTCCTGGAGAGAGGTGAAGGAGACAAAGCTGAGCAGATCACGGGAGGTTTCCAACAAACTGGTCACCCACAGTTACACAAGCACTTAGCTTAACAGCACTGAGAAAATAAATAAATAAATAAATAAATAAATAAATAAATAAATAAATAAATAAATAAATAAATAAATAAATAAATAAATAAATAAATAAATAAATAAATAAATAAATTTTAAAAAAGTGAAGTCTGAAATGGTAAGGCCACAATGGCTTATTTATTTATTTTATTTTATTTTTTTCACACAACAGTTGAAGCCGCTGTGGACCGTCCACACATTATCACACCCACAGAGTGAGGGACACACTGCGTGGAGACACACAGACACTGAGCAGAACCAACCCAACCCAAAGTGAATTGAGTAGAACAGAGTTCATGGAGAGGGGCTAAACAGGTGCTGCTGCAGTTAACAGTTATATATTATATATTATAGTCGAGATGTCAAAAGCAAAACAGTCCAAAGTGTGATGTCACTTTACAAGATATGATGCAGAAACTTCCACCTACAACAAATGCTTTAAGAATATTTGGTGCAAAGACAAATTATTAATGGTTTCAAGTTAATATGTTGGTCAATTTCAAGTTTGACTTTGCCTCAGAAGTCATTGCTTCATAAGCCCCTGTGTGAGTGTGTGTGTTTCATTTATTTATTTATTTTTAAAGTACCGATTTAAATACCGTTTAGGAACCTGTACCATTTTAAAAATATCCATTTAGCACCAGTATCGAATTAAGCCCTACCCAACCCTAACGGTGCAATGAATTCTGTGATATCATCGGCCATGTAGGATACTCAGATGCAGCCGAGATTTTGGGGGTTTTGTCAGCTGCATGCGTAGGCGCCTACTAACTGGGACAGCCTACGGTGAGGGGCAGTGATGTAAGCAGCCAAGAAATTCAGCTGATGTTGCAACTCACGAATTGAGGCACAGCCACAGTCTATCCCAACACATTGTTTGTGGCATCTGTTATTTCCTCCTCTGATCCTGGTTGCCTGACATCTGATTAAGCGCAGCTGTTCCTCAGTGGAGTGATGTTGTCAGCCGCAGATAACAGCACAGGCTGCAGTGCACAGCAGGAGGTAACGGGGAGATGAGTGATGAACTTATTTCTAATGGCAAAACGCTTGGGACAATGACTGGTTTATTTAATTTTGTTTATTAATTTTTAATGTTACATGGGCTCTGAAAGAAAATAAATTTGAAGCCGAGTTTTTTTTAATCTGTGAGATTGCTGTAAACGTCTGTATATCTGCAAAATGAAGGAAAATCGGTGTAAATTAGACAATCTGTTAATGTGAGCAGTCGTCAGCGCCCGTCCTCCCCCAGATGCACAATGGAGTGCGTGTCTGAGCCAGCCAATCGCTTTTTTTCACATTGATCAGCTGATTCATTTAAATGGTTAAAGAAGTCATCCTCCAATGAGACAGTTGGGGGCTTGACTCCACCACTTCTCAGTCACATGTGTCGCTTGGGAAAGACACTGAACCCTCACTGCTTTAGATGTGCAGGGCTGATAGTAGAAACAAGTCCTGAGCCTACTAAATAAGCTAAAGCAACATAAACAGCCAATTATGCCAAGACAGGTTGCGCACTCATTTGGTGGCTAATCCAGTTTTTGTACAACACCTGCCTCATTTTCTCCCAGTAAACATGCACCTGTTGTTGCTCTGGTCACTGTTACGTCATCAGACTTGTCTATCCTCTCCTGCTCCACCTGCATGCTCCTGTATAGCCAACTTTAGCATCCATCTGCACATTATGTCTCTCTCAGGTGTAGGAATCTGTAATATCATTCTGACAATTCATCTTCTCTGACAGATGTTTTTTTAAAAATCTGCCAGCAAACATTGTCTTTTCAAACTTGTTCTACCTCTTTCAACTTATCCTGCTGTTTAAAACTGGCATAAAAGTAGATGGGTAATATGCATCGCTTCAAGGAATGCAAAGACTTTCATTTACTACACATGTATTACGCATATATTAATAAATCTGGCTTCTAAAACAAAGGCTGATATCTACCTGTTTAATCCAGCAATAAATTCTCTTATGTCATCGGGTAGAATGACACGATGTTCTCCCATGTCCCTGTGGTTCCCCAGGACACACACTGGCACGTGGGTGGGTACTTTGGGCAGCTCCTTCAGGATGTAATTAAATGTCCTGTAAATGACAAAAGCACAATTAAACACTGGTTTAGGGATGAGAGAAGAAAATCCATAAGCAGATGATGAAAGAGGAAAAAAACTGAATACAAACAGGTAAAAGTTATTTGTAACAGTGAGTTCTCTGGGCAGTACTTAGATGAAAGATGTCTTTATTACTTGACAAATATGATCAAAAATGTCTTGTTGAGACATTTTTGCACGAAGGGAGTTTTAATGAGAGTTGTGCCACCTAGAGTTTTAATGAGAGTTGGAAGGAGAGACCATATTTCTCCAGTTTTAACTTTTCTCCACTGACTCCCTGTCAAATTTAGAATAGAATTTAAAATATTACTCCTAACATACGAAGCTTTTAACAACCAAGCTCCATCATTTATTAAACATCTTATTGTTCCATTCTTTCCAAACAGAGCACTTCGCTCTCAGACTGCAGGTATACTTGTGGTTCCTCGAGTTTCTAAAAGTAGAATGGGAGGCAGAGCTTTCAATTATCAAGCTCCTCTCTTATGGAATCAACTTCCAGTTTCTGTTCGTGAGGCTGACACTCTGTCTACTTAAGATTAGACTGAAAATGTTCCTTTTTGATAAATCCTATAGTTAGACTTAGGTTTCCTTAATTATTCTTCATTTCTGCTGCTATAAACTTAGACTGCTGGAGCACAAACTGAGCACATTTCTTCATTCTGCTGTTGTCTTTAGTCTCTTTTCTCTACATGTTTATTGTTATTATTTCTATCATGTTTTTTCTTTGTCTCTTCCAGAAAAAGATGCACCTGGACCAGTCCCGGACCAGTTCTTCTGTTTTTGTCTGTATCTCTTTCCTGTCCCTTAACCAGCCGGTCGAGGCAGATTGCCGCCTGCCCTGAGCCTGGTTCTGCTGGAAGTTTCTTCCTGATTAGCAGGGAGTTTTTCCTCTCCACCTCAGGATGGGAAACTGTGATGAAGTGATTCAACGTAGCCTGCTGGTTTCTTCTTTAGATTATTC